GAGAGAGAGAGAGAGAGAGAGAGAGAGAGAGAGAGAGAGGAGAGAGGGCAGAAGTGCATGAGCACCTACAAAGATCAAGCATTGGTGAGGGGAGGGTGGGTTTGAATTTTAAAAAGCAGTGGCTATATAACAAAACAATGTCTTTTGGTCGAAATATCATTTCTCATCTTGACTCTAGGCCAAGAAAAAAAATGATGAATTACAGAAATGTGGTAACTGACACTACAAAAATGAATACTGAAATTTCAGAGGAATGTTTGAACCTAATCTGAAATGTTCATTTGGCTGTGACCTATTTTCACTGTTTTATAATCACCATTAAATTCCTAGAACAGAAGAGACATGAAACCAAGTATCTGTTAATTAATCTTAATTTTTAAAAAAATACAAACTATAATTCAGGATATAATTTCCTATCTTGTGTTCAAAACAGTCAATGAAATGGAAGATTGCAGATTGCGTTTGAGGTGATTTTGCCCTGTGATCCGATTGCACTTTGCTAAAACACAGGTCTTTCAATTAGACAGTGTGGTTCTTGCCATTGCAAAGTGGGCAACTAGGCTGGTGAGTCACCACTGCTGTGGTGCCAACTCATTCTCTATGATGAACTCAGACTGTCCTTCCCAGCCGGGGACGCTTGGCAAGCTTCCTTGAAGACCCAGTGGCTGGCAAAGCATGGGGAACTCTCAAACAGGAAATGAGGCCCTCCTCAGGTTTTGAAAAGAGATGATAGAAGTCTTAAAATGAGGCAAGCCAGACCAGAATCTCCTAAACCACAAACCTTATCTTGAGTGAAACATTATGTCTATGTTGGATCTGAAAAGGAAAAGAACCTAAAGTATAAGACAATGGTTCATTTGTACGCAAGAAAACAAGGCCAAGTCTCTTAGCTTGGTTTCCTCTAGTCAAATTTAGGATCTCTCCCAGGAAAAGACCAAAAAACATTTGTGAGTCTTCTGCGTAAATGTTTACTAAAAGAACTGTAAAATAAGTCGATGGTTCATTTAGTAACTCGTAGGTCTGGGTCTTCTCTTATGTGGAAAATTCACAAATATGCAATTGAACTACAGGATTTAGGAACTGAGAGGGCCCTAAGAAACTATCTGGTCCTATCTATTTACATGCGGGAAATCTGAAGCCCAGAAACATGAACCGCCTTAATAACAAGCCTCAACTGGAACCTAGATCCCGCCTGGCATTTCTAGCCTCGTGTGTTCTCCACTACAATATGCAGCATCTTCTTCACTGGGAGAAAGAAATTAAAAGCCCACACCAGGAGACATATTCAAAACCTTGGAGACAAGAGTTATTCTGGGACCACGGAATAAAACGATCATAAAACTCATTCAAGTTCCACTTCTAGGAAACAACTGTAAGTACCGCCCAAGCAGAAATTCCACCAAATCAGTGCAACAAGAACATACATTCTGTAGGAAACTTCGAAGTTCTCAGGAACTTATATCTGATGGTAACAAGGGCATGGTGTTAATATTACTTCTCCAGCTAATTGTTTTTATTGATTTGTTATGGCTAATAAGGACTGATTGATTTTCCTTTAATCGGTAGAGTCTCCACCCTGCCAGGTTTGTAATTAAATACTGAGAAGCACAGCTTTCGGCGTTAGTCTATCCAGGTTTCCAGGAGCATAAAAGAGTCTGTCCAAATAACTGTGAGCCTCATAAGATACGATGGTGCCAGTCCAGAAAGGGCTTAATCTGGTCTTTCTTTAGCAGTTCTCTATTTTATTTCAGTTTTAAGTGGTATCTGTTAGGATCAGTAGATCCTGAAACTTAAGTATAAAGAAGCATTTTTACTTAAAATGTGGAATTCATTGCCGATACCCCAAACTGCCACTTGTCAACTCTGTTCAGCTGCAAGATCTACATTCCACATCATGTATTTTCAGTGCCGTCCCCAAACTCCCCCTCTAACTTGTCATGGCATTTGGGAGATGATCATAATTTAATTCTGAGAATTTGGCTCAGGGCGGCAGAGGGGAAAAAAGTAAAGGATAAGAATTTAAAGGTAGGAGAAAAAGGACTGAGGGGCCAACAGTTTTGCAGGAAAGGAGGCTGTTGTTTAGGAAGATAGTTACCTGTGATTAAGAAGTGAAGGCAATCATAGTCAGGTAGTCTCTCAACTCCCGTCTAGAATTTCAAAGAGATGCTATATCCTTCCCACAGATTCCAATGGGTGTGAGTTAAGGGAGGTATTTTTTGGATACTAATCGCATGTTAACTTTTTTGGAGCAGGGAATGAAAAACTACCGTGAGGTTGGGTCTGAAAACTGTTTGTTTGGCAGCTCTCTGTCCAAAGCTCCTGATGAAACTCAGCTACCTACTGCACGCTGCCCATGTGCATCTATTGTTCTAGTTCTCAAAACACGTTAGTGGTGGGTGTCCCCTTAACCCAGAAGCAGACTTCTCCGCCCAAAGGAGAAAGAGCTGGGAAGGGAAGCTTCTTGGCAAAAGGGAACTTTCTGATACACAAATATTGTTCTTTTGGGAACCCAGGAGGAGAGGCGAGCGCGCTGAGCAGGGAGACCAAAGAAAGTGCAGGACAATGAGCTTAGAGAGTGAGAACTTTCCACGCGGCTCTGAGCTCTGCTCCAGGACAGGACAGGCTGTGCTGCAGGGGCAATGCCTAGGAGGGAAACGCTGGTTGCCTTCCTCAGCTTCTTGGGCTGCCTTTAGCCTTTCCTAGAGCTGCTCCCTCAGTCAAGGTGGACACAGCACTCCAATCTAGACACTGTCCACTGAGCTGCTCCTACAAGGTCACAGCCATGGCCAACTTAACTAGTGCCCATCCGCTGCCAAGACACGGCCACTTGAAAAAAGACTCACTCTTTTGGCATTCTTCATAGGCTCCTTAGGAAATTGTTAAAGACAGAAATTTTGAAATTGAATTTTAATGACTGTCAGGAAAGAGGGGTGAGACACAGCAGCTGCTCCACCCGAGGGACAGGCCAGTCTTTTGGTCACCACACCCACTGGTCCAGTAAGAAGAGAAAAGGAACTACAAAAAGGTAAAGGTTTCAACTTTAGAGTGAGGGCTCTGGCCCTGGGAATTTGAGTCATTCACACCCACAAATACAGAAAAGAAAAAAAAAAGGAGGAGGGGCGCAAACAAAACACTTAAAACTTCAGGGCCTCAGTCCCAGGTTGCTTAAACGAATTGTGGGGCCAAGAACACAAATTTTTGTGGGGTGGGTGGGGAGGATATGGAAGGCCTCTCTCTTCCTGGTATCTCACCAACCAGGGACAGCACAGCCATAGACAGCCATGATCTGGGCAACGATGCTGTGAAGGATGGATGTTGAAAGAAGGAGAGAGTTTTATAGAAGAAGGAGGCATTTTCTCCCCGGGGTCCCCATGGTGGGGTGGAGTGACTGTAGTTGGGTTAACACTCCCTGTCCTTCTTCTGCTGACCTGAGCCATGTCTAAATGAGAAATCACAGGATAATGTCAGTTTCCTAAACTCAAGTGCTTAAGAGTGAAACTTCCTGAAAAGTTATTGCCAGTGACACATTCGGGCTGACAAATTATCCATAATCGCACTTGCAACATGCTGGATGGCTTTCAGGCAGATGCGAGAAGGGGAGGGCAGGATGCAGGCCACAGCGGGTCTGTAGTTTTCCGGTTGTGTCTCCCCACCCTGTCCCCCCACTGAGGGGACACCCTCGGTGGGGGGACTTCAGGGCGCCTGGCAGGGTCCAGCTCTCTCCTTTTCTTCCTGTCACTCACACAGACTGCATTGAGGAGCCTCTCTTTTCCTTCCCCAATTAACCCTTCTGGGTGTGCCTGTCTGTGGTCTCAAGAGCCCTTGATTTACAGTTACCCGAGTTTTCTTTTGTTTAAAATCCTGGGCCCACAAGACCTTGGTATGTGTTGAACTTCTAGCTACTTCTGCATGCCAGTCTGTATCCTACGACACAGAAAATTATTAGGATTTGACGCCCAACATAAATAATAACAGTACTTTTACCTGTGGATGCATTGGAAGAATGTGTGCACATTCAATCGTTTCAGAACTTGATAAATCTGAAAAAGACCTTTCAAAGTGTTTGCAGGTTAGCACCTCTATAAACACCCCCCCCCACCCCCACCTCCCACATACAGTCACAAAAGTGCCCTTTGATATGTTTTTTACATTTTGAGCTCACTCTGTCTTTTAAATTTAGGAGCAACTTTAAACATATATATTGATCTAAATATAAATTTCTATGTAAGACATAGGTTCTTGCATGTTTTACAAATCCAGTTACCCAAATCATAAGGTTTCATATTAAATTATCAGTCAGAGAACCTCCTAGGAGGTTGATTTAGCTACAAATGTTTGGGTTCACAATTTAATTCACTATTCCACTTTCTCCAACTTGAATTTTGATTTCTGCATTTATACATAACACAGCACTTGAATTAAGGGTCTTCTTGTTAAACTAGAGTCTTTTCTCATTTCTCTGAACTCTATAAATGAACTGCATTGTCACATAATCGATAGGAAAGACTCAGCTGTCAGAGATCCTAAGCAACTCTGTGCCACAGAAATAACACGATCTGGCATTTCTGAGTTTGAAAAACGTGCTGTTTGGATGACAGGAGACCAGAACTCCCCAGTCGGCTTGCATGCCTGTGGTCTCCATGAAGTACTGAGAGCCAGGCTGCTGAAATCTACGGAGATGTTGCAAATAGGCTTCTCTTCTGGTTAGAGGCCAGGTGCTCCCTCGTTTCTTCCATAAAAAAGTAGTATAACAATGTTGGGGTCTGGGATTCAAAGTTATTTCTAAGCTCATCTAAGTTTGTTTGCTCTCATAGAGTTTCAAATTAGGCGTTTTTCCTCCCCAAACCAATGAGCAATTCAGATTTGGACTTTGGAACTGAAATCTGAAACTAAATGTCCAACAACTTCAAAACTGATCCTTTGAAGTCCCAGGTCATTCCCATCGATGTGATCAGGATTTCTGCAGTATATTAAATCCTTTAGCTCACAAGTTAGTGAATGGCATCTGATCATAAGTAACGTGAGCCCATGAATCTCCAGCCAGCTGCTTCACTGCCTCCACGTCACTGGCTCTTGTTGCACTTGCTACCTTCACTCTGCAATCTGCCGCTTACTTACAAATGCTGCCATATCATACCAGAGTGTGAAGAAGATGTAATCCTTCCTTATCTGTATTCTCTCCCCTTTTATCTATGATGTACTACTCTGTACTTTTAACTCAATGACTTGTTTCACCAAGGGGATTTTGTAAAAAAGTGGTACTGGGCAGACCTACTGTGGAATCCACCCCACTTGGTAGATTAGATTATGTGATAAACGTGTTAATTTATCTCAGAAGAACCTTGTTATAAAAAGCCTCATGGCCTTGGCATGCTATGCAGCATTTACACACCAAAGGTGAAAGGTAATCCAATTCATGAATTTGTTCTGTCAGTGAATAGATATATTAAATATTACAGTCACACTCAGTCTACCTGGACCCATCTATACAAAGAAAAGTGATAGGGGGAATCAGGTAGGTGAGACAAATTCAGTTTATAATTGCAAAGCATGGATGCATAAAACTTGTCTTTCTTAAAACTAAAGCTGTTGGAGCCTGCATTTCCCACACCTACCATCGCTAAGATCTTTGGGATGAACTAAGAAACACTGCCTCTAATTAGTTCATTTGTCATTGGAGAACCACTGCATCAAGTCAGGTATTTTGCTCCTATTCAACTCTAGTAGAAAATGAGCCAACGTGGGCTATTATGAAAAGCTCAGCATTCAGTGCCAACGTTTACAATTGGCCTCATTTTACAGGATCTCAGAAGCCCCCAACTCATTCAGACTATGTCTTGGCAACCTTGCTCTAGCCCCAAAAAACAGTGTTAACACAGAGTATGTGCATTATCATAGTTCACAGGCTTCAGAGCTGCAAGTCGACATTTGGTACCTGTGTCATGCAGAAGGGATAGAAATCCATCCAGGAACCAAGTCACTGATATCTAAAGCAACTGCCATGGGTAGGTGGACAGAGTGGGTAGCAGGGGGACGGGGAGAGGAAGAACTAGGCACACAATATCTTGGCTGGGAGTGACTTCACTCTGATGTCCACCAAGGGCAGGTAACTGATAAAAAAAAAGAGTTCTCTCCTTGGATACTTGATCAGTGTGTGAATTTACCTTATTTTTCATTATGGGAAACAACTAGTCCCATCCCAGCTCTAAATACTGAAGATGTTTATTTTTTGAGAAATATGGTACATTAAACTATCTTGTCCTTGATTCCCAAGACATAAACCACCTGATGTCAATACCACAAAATTGAGGATTTGCCTAAATTTTTAATCACACAGTGCTGAGATACAATGTACTAGATACAGGCGATGTATTGGACGAGTCCACCAGATATGACTCTAAAATTCGAAGTTTTTCATTTCTCTCTACACTTGCATACACCTCTCCACAGCCCTCCCCCCACCAACCCAGAAATATTTCTTTCCCTTACTCTCTGCATTCTAAACTTAAGAGTGCACAAACCATGAGCTGGAGATAACTGCTTGTTTGCAGTGCTATTTATGAAACAATTCTTTCTCTCTCTCCCTTCCCCCCCACCCCCACTCCCAAGCATCCCCCAAAGGTCTGAGCAATGCACTGTGCTACCACTCAACTTTGCCTGAGAGAAAAGGCAGGGGTTGCAAGCGCATCTCCACCACTGCAGTGGCCTGGCTGCCAGCACCTGCCTTCTCACCCAGTTTACCCCTGCTAACTCTTAGCTTAATTTTAAAAGCATTATCTGGGTCTCCATTTATCTGTTAAAACAGCCCAGGGTGTTTGCTAGGAGTATTGTGCCATCATTGCTGGCACATTTGTCTCTTCTGTCTGCTTATCATTACACAAAGCATTCTAAAGAGCTAATTTCCAACCCTGGAAATATAATCTTACTCCAGAAGTCATTACATTCGTATAACAAGCACCAAGTTCCAAGGTGGTGATTTGGTTATAGATCGGAAATCCCTCCTGTTCCATGTTGAGGCATAATGTTGTCCTGCTACTACTAGAATCCGGGTCAGTGGGACCCCCGCTTGAGGGGAAGTCTAAGAGGGTGAACACAGTCCTTGGAAACTCAAAGTGCGGTAAAAGCTCCAAGTTTCACCTGCCCACGTTGGGACATTTCTTAAAGAACCAAGATGCCGCCATCTCTTTTTTCTTCCTCTTTCGGTGCTCTTTCCTTGACCATCAAGAAAATATGCCTTAAATGATCTTCTTCCACGGGTGTTTCATTGGCCATGGGTGAATACCAGGGCTTCTCTCATAGGCAATGCAAGCACTTTTGGACCCTTTTGTTGGAGGTGGGGCTTGGGAAATCCGACCTCAGTCTGCCCTGCCAGTTGTGGAGGTGCAGATTAGCTGCAACTCTGCAGAGGCCCGGATGGTGGTGGCGGTAAGGGTCAGTAAGGTTGAGATGTATTCAGATGTTAATTTACACCTGAAAAGACTGAATGCAGGCACCCACATGGGGGTGGGGGTGGGGTTGTGTGACTGGAGTTTCTCATGAATACTGGCCCCGAGTGCTTCCTTGGGAAAGATGAAAGTTGAAATGGATGGGGAAGTAGTCTAAAAGTTATGGGGGCAGGAAGAAGGGCGAGAACAAGGGCAGCCTTGATGAGATCAAGGAAACTATTTGGCCACCATTTGTAACTCTGTTTCCAACTTTATCTTCTCAGTGTAGTTTTAAGGTACAATGGAGAGGTGGTAATAGCCTCTATATTATGTATCCAATCCAAAAATTTTGATGTGGAAGTGAGGATGAGGAATGAGCCTAATTTTTCTGCCATGTGGGATGGGTCTCCTTGTTTTGCAGTCTTTCCATTGAACAACTGCTACCTACCTTGCCAAGGGGAAGGAATCCCAAAGTACCTCCTAAGTAACTAAGAAAGAACCGTCTACATTCCAACACTGCCTTTAACCTCAAACATAGTAAAGGGTTCATTCAGACCCCAGGACCACACGAAGGCATTAATTAGGCTGATGAAATCCATCGAAATATATGAATTCAGCATAATCAAGTTTCTGCCGCAGACTATCGTTAAGGAATACGTGAGCAGCTGGGAGAATGGAGAGAACTGTTTGAGTTAACTCATGCATGTAATTGAGTATATTTAACATAACCATTTTAATGATCAGTGATTAAAAAGTGCATCTTACTTAAATGGTATATCCACTGCCGTTTGTTCATAGCAACTCGATAATATTCTCAAGAGGAAAAAGTAAGGGATACAAATTTCTAAACAAGATCAGTTTTGAATTTGAGGGGGAAAAGCTGGAAAGTGAACCAGAAAGAAAAAATGTCCCTTTTGCATGCAAACAGCTATACCGGTGTGATATTAATTAATCACTGTTTCAGCCACTTTCTGTGCTCAGCTCAGAGTATTAGGAATAAGTAACAAATGGTTCTTTTCATCCCTCAATAAGGATATATTTCATTAAAGATGCTTTCTCTGTCTGACAAGATTATATTTTCAGAGAGGGAGAGAGGTCTGCTCAAATCCTGCTGATTTTAAGAGCTTCTCGTAGGAACCTGTGAAGTTCACCTTTCCAATTCTTTTTTCCACCTGTTGGGTTGGCTTATCTTCGTGGAACTCACCTCTGTGAAGATAGCACTGGGAAGAAGAGGGAGAGTGTCCCAAAGTGATGCGCCCGGATATGGCTGTCTAAGGCCACAACCAGCAGAAGCCCTCAAAGGGAGATTAGCTGTTTAAATGAGCCAGGGGCCTGAACCCAAAGCCCAGGCATTTGGAGGCACACTCTGCTCTGTTCTAGTCACTCAGACCTGACCAGATAACTGAAGTCACCGTGGAGCCATGCACAAGCCAGCCCAACTTTTTTTTGTTGTCCTTTCTCAGCTGTTGCATTCAAAACACGGATGACCCAGGAAAGAACCAAACGAGTGAAGTGGCTCTAGATCTACAGCTAAGGAGTGTGTAAATCCCACGTTTACACATCTGCGCAGGCACTGCACAAGTGAGGCTGTAAGAGAAGGGATACAGTTGGCCCAGCTCCCAAAGGT